TGATGCTCCAAAACTATTGTATAATTTTCTTGAATTCAAATTTAATTCATAGATTTTGGATGGTGAATATAATTTACTCAATATTTTTCTATCTATCAAATTTCTTTTTTTTTGGTACATCAAAAGGGAATCTATCTATCAATATCATTGTTCTGATTAGGGGCCTTGAACTATAATCGACAAGGAATGACTTGTTTCTAATTGAAATTTCAACTGTACCAAATAGTTGAGGTTTTTGACGAGGAAAAGTCATTAAAAAGAAGATTTTGATTGGAAAGAATCTTTAAAAAGAAGACTCTTACCGCTCATTAAAAAATTTCAAAGATTTTTACCGATACTAGTAAAAGTCTTCCGTTTAATAATTTTTTCCGATTAGAGATCTCAACTATCTAATTTAGTTCAACTTTCAACTGGAAACAAACCAAATCCAATCTACAAACTATCTTCATAGATTGTCAAGTTATTATTGAGGACTCAAAAATATGAGATGGCCTTTGAGAATTTACAGAGATGAAGTTGGCGAGGTCCCAAGCATGGGTTAAAACGTAATATTGTGAATAAATTTAGAATCATTTTAGAAGGTTGCTAAATACTCCTATTTTTTCCTTTTGGACCCCCACCTCTTGTATTTTGTTTTATAACAATTTTGTCCTAACACTAATTTCTATATTTTGACCCCATCCCTATCTTTCCAACCCCAACCCTAACCCTAACCCTAAACCCAACCCCAACCCCAACCCCAACCCCATCTCTACCTCCACCGTCACTTCTATGTTACGAGGTGCGCAAGATCATCACTGAGTGATCAACTTGAGGCGCCCAAGTCTTAAGGGCAGTCAAAAATGGGGTGTCTACACAGCCTCTTTTTTTTTTTTTTTTCTTCTTCTTCTTCAGCCATTCCCAGTGCCACCAACCTCTCAATATTATCTCACAACCACCACTACCTTCATAGCCCTTCATCGTTGCCACTACACGAGAGAGAGAGAGAGAGAGAGAGAGAGAGAGAGAGAAAGAGAGAGAGAGAAAATTGGCAGTCACCATTTTGATTCCTTCAACAGTCGCAACCGCCGCCGTGATCTCCGCTACAAATCTAAAAAAATGAAAAGGAAAGGGGTCGTAGTGGTCAAAGGTTGCGGAAGAGTGGCTGCCGATTGAGAAGGTGCTAGAAGGCCGCTAGAGGAGTGGGACTACTGATCGCTACTGTTGTCTCCTTCTCTTCTTCTTCTTCCTATCACAACCCAAATCGTGACCCACCGCCGCTATCACTGCCCTAAGTCGCTATTGTTGACATTATTGATTATTAAAAACCCTAGGTCTAGGCTGTGAAATAGTAGAGAGGGGTTGCGGATTGGCCACTGGAGATAATGATGGTGGTTGTCGGAGTTGATGGAGATGAGATTAGGGTTAGGGGCTAGGGTTTGGGGTTAGGAATATAGTTGGTATTAAGGTAAGAGCTTAAAGAGAAAATGGAGAGAACTTATTTTTTTGTGTATGAATTCAAAAAAATGAGACCTAAGTAAAAAGATGAAAACAAATAGTAGTCCTCTTATTTTAAATTTGATAGATTAATTGGACACTACCCAATCACAATTCATCAACTCGTAACAATGATGACGATGCACATGGAATTTTAGTTGATTTTTATTATTTGCTCTTTTGAATTTACATTCTTAGAAATATATTTTAAGTGGAGCTTGTTTGGCAACATGTCTTGGATTAAATAATATTTTAATGTCTATCTAACTATCCATTGGTCCTGTTTGGTGTAGCTGTTAAGACAGATTATAAATTATAACTTAACAGATTATAGATTATGACTTTAATCAGAAACTGTTAATCTGTTTGGTATAGCTATTGGATTATAGATTTAAGTTGTTCAAATTCAGTCACTTTTCGGTCCCTGACACACTGTGGAAAGTATTTCTCAAAAAAGGCTCCCTTAAACTGAGCCCAATTCATGGCAGTATTGGTGTCGCGGACCAGCATCCACCACCTTCTGGCCTCTTTTTGTAAGAAGAAGGTAGCTAGTAGCACTTTGTGTGCTTCAGAACACAGAAAGACTTCAAACAATTTCTCGGTCTCTAGGACCCATGCTTCGGCTTTTAGCGGTTCGAGGCCTCCTTAGAATGATGGTGGTTTCATTTTACTGAACTTCTGCGTTAGAGCAATTATATCATCATTCGCGGTTCCGGCTGTACCAGAGGAGGTGGGGGTTGTTGGTTTTGTTGTAGCCTCAAGGCCTCAATCAGCAGTTCAACTGTTCTTTCTAGCCTTGCCATTCTGGCCTCAGATGATTCAGGTTCATCAGCATTTCTTGCGTTATTCATTTCACTATAGACAATTATGGCAATTATAAACATAGACAGTTACATACTTAACATATTAACACATTAGCACATATATTCATGTCATGGCCACACACACTTTTCATGCTCATGCAATGCCCTAATTACTTTCTAGGACATTCTATAGCTCATTTGGACAGGTGTGTGCGGTATAACTCATGGTTTGATATCGTTCTGATACCACTCTGTCACGACCCAAACCCGTCTCTATGGGTTTAGCACCGTAACCGGTCAGTAATCCGTGATTACCGAAGGCCTGCTTAACAGTAAAGACAGTAATACAGAGTACAGGGGCTGGCGGAAGTCAAAACAGTAATAAAAGATATCCAATGAACTGTGACAATCTGTATGCAAAAAAAGACTTTTCATATATATTCACATTTAGAACAAAAGCAGTATGTACATACATCATAAATAGGCATTCAGGTTAGGGACCAAATCCCTACCATAACAGTACAGTACAAGTCTAAACAGTCTATACAAAATAGAAACAGAAAGGGGGAATCTAAAACACCCCGAAGCAGTTTTGGCTTGGACACACTTGGGACCTCGCAGTGAGGCACGTTGGTTGGCTTGACAAAAAGGAAGTTTAATCCAATGCTCCTAGCTCCGATCCGGTGCCTGTACACCTACATATATATATATAGACAGTAAGCTAAAGCCTAGTGAATAACATATGCGTAAAGAGGTTAGGAATGAATGTCCTTTCAGTATTTAAAACAGTCATTTGGACAGTATATCAGTTATTCGATCATAGCATCATAAGTGGTACATCCAATAACAAACAGTACAGTAGGTCTTAACAGACGAAACCGTCAGTTGATGGCCATCATATCAGTAAACAGTAGTGGTTCCAAACATGGGAACCGACAGAGATCTCTGTGACAGTAGCAATACAATACAGTAACAGTAAATTGCTATGGATGCCACGAATACAGTTGAGTTCTGGGCTATAGACAGGCAAATGAGTGTCCTCGGATGCCAACCCTACACAATAATAGAACGAGTACACACTAAGTTACACACTAGGGAAACAATAACTTAGTCCCCTAACTTGACTTGGTGTGGTTCTATATCATTATCCTCATTAAGATGTTTTAAACTAGGCCTAGGAATGCCTAGGATGGAATGAGGACACAAAGATGCACTTTAAAACACTTTTCAAAATTTTCAGAAAACAGGGGTCTCGCTCGAGCGTGGCTTTCTACGCTCGAGCGGACATGCAGACAAAGGAGCTCCGCCCGAGCGTGACTTCCTTCGCTCGAGCGGACTGTAAACTATAGTAAAAGTACTGGATGCACAAAAATCACGCTCGATGGGCGCTCGATCCACGCTCAACCGTGAGACACAAATCCTCGCTCGAGCGTGCATTCCCTCGCTCGAGCGGACTGTAAACACATGCAAAGTACTGGATACACGCATTTCACGCTCGAGCATTACTTTACTCGCTCGAGCGGACTGCATGAACTCAGAGTGTACGCTCGAGCGTGAAGTTCCTCGCTCGAGCGTGGATCCAAAATCTGGAATTTTCAGATTTGTCTCCAAGCATGAAACTCAACATTTAAAGCATCAAATTCGATCCTTTTGGGCTAATTAATTTTCTAGAAAACACTTTAAAACTCATAATATGACATGTTTCAAAGATCAATTTGCAAAATCAAAGCCCAAAGGTAGTTCAATTGAACCCATTTCCAAACAAAACTTCAAGAACGTGATGAACATGCAACATGCATGAATTTAATCAACTTCAAAACTTCAAATATTTGATCAAATGAGCCAATCCTTCCAAAAACATGCTAAATTCATGGACCAAAGCTAGAATATGGACATGCATGTGAGGATTTCCATGAAATCAACCTCAAAACTCAACAATGCATACATGTATGCATGAATTCCTACTCAATTCAACATATAAACCAATTCTTGACTTTAAAACTCTAATCTTCCATGAATCATGCAAGAACAGCTTAAATACAAGTTCAAGAAGGTGATTCTCCTACCTTAGGTCCTTAATTTCAAGAATGGAAGCTCAATTATGCAATCTACTCTTCAATTCTTCAAGTTCTCCAAGTAATTCTCTAGATGAAAGCAAACTTCTCCTCTCTCACTCTCTCTTACGGTTTTGGTCTCTCAAAAATGAGCAAAATGACATGAAATCAAGCTCTAGACAAAGTTTAACAAAGTGGCCCACTAAGTGGCATTTTGGTAAATAAGCCAACTAATGTAATTTACCATTATTTAATCCAATTTAATCATACCAAATCAAATTTCAATTAAACATACCATAAAATCACATTAATTCTAATTAACACAAAACACTAATCAGTTCCGGATTCGGCCGCCGATAAGGCCTTCAAATTACAGTTCGAAACTTAAAACATGAACAGATAAATCAATGACAAACAAATAGAAATGCATTTAACATAACACATTCATGCAATCAGTTTAGGATTTCATCCTAATCAGTTACTTATCATGTTCAGTCACAGTTTAGCAGTAATTAGTGGTATTATCAGTAAACAGTGGTGAGGGTTGTCATAACCCTGCCTCAGCTACATGGGCCTGGGCTTGATTCTCAGCCCTCAAAATGCCCATAGATTTCCTCAATGCTCCTGCCATCTCGCGGGCTAAAGCGCCCATGGCCTGCTGACCTACTGGCTCGGCCATATTGGCCTGACCAATACCCTCCTGTTGCGCCGGAATTTCATCCGGTATAGGCATCTCCTGCCTCCTAAGCCTACCTCGCCTACCACCACGTCCTTGTCCTGACATCCTAATAAGGTAACGAAGTCATTAGCACATTTACAAATGTGCCGAAGCTATATCACTCACGTCCTAATGCAATGGACAACAGTAATTCACTCAACGTAAGCACATAATCACATAAGCACTTACAAATTTTATTTTCGGATAATGACAGTCCCGAGGCGTTGCTAGAGTTCCAGTTAGAAACGGCAGTGCTCAAGTGCCTTTCCAATAGGACTCCCAGAAACCCAATGAGCCAATCAACATCCTAGAAACTAGATTCCATATCCATTTAGTCACATAAACACGTTATCAAATAAACACATAACATTACATCTAAGTCTCTAACAGGCAAGACAAACCCACTGTGGTACTAACCACTTCCCACATACCCAAGTATTCAAACCCGGTACGCTCTAATACCAAGTTGTAACACCCTGAAAATAATACACTTAAAGCTAACATTCATGATATACATGGACAAGACATAAAACATATTTCCATTCATCAGAGTATTCTTACAAAAAGTAATACATGTTGACAACAAAAGTAAATGCCCTGTAGGCTTACAACTTTCCAAGCCAACACTTGGTTACAACAAAAGAAGAGTCCTAACTCTTTATACAAAAATAGGCCATTGGCTTTGATTTACATGTAACACCAAAATTACAAAATAATCAAAAGAGTCTTCGACTCCCAAAACCATCCAAACTACGTCCTTGGAGGTGGCATAGCTCCTAAACCTGAAAATGATGTCCCTTATAGGGTGAGCTAATGCCCAGTAGAGATATGCTAAACATAATATGAGCAATAACTACAACACAGGCATTTGATAAATGTTTAACTCGTATAACAAACAAATATCGCTTTCCATCTTATTATCCAAACCAATTCATAAATATGGTTCCTTATTCAGCCAAACAGTTCACGATGAGCCTACAACTCATATAATTAACACATCAGCACTTTCATTTCAAATGAGATTACAATTCAAATTATCATCATTCCAATACTTCAATCATCTACGTTATACAAACGTAATTCAAATTTCAGGACTTTTACCCTGGACACTCCGGCCAACTTAGTTATCACTGGAGTCCATCCCCTATCTCCTCCCAAATCCGGTTAAGGAGTCCATTCCCTATCTCTTCCCAATCGTAGAGTACATCCCCTGTCACGCCCCAAACTCGCCCCTAAAAGTTTGGCAACGAGACCGGCCAGTAATCCTAGATTACCACAGGCCTTGCTATACAAAACATAAATAAAAGGGGCTCGCGGAAGCGAAAACAATAACCACTAATAGTCCAAAGAGCTGTGCATTTATATGAACATACTTTACATGCCAAAAATGTTAATTTACCCACTACATTACATCACATATAATCAAAATTCATATACAACACATAGGCAAAAGCCACAGATACAACAAGACAAAGCTCACAAAACGGCCTTCCAGGCCTAGCCCCGGCTCGGAGCACATAAAACACTTGTTAGGCTTCAAAACAGCGGCTCGGCTCGAGAACCCGCCTAGGCTTGACTTCCAGAATGCTCACCTATAATACATAATTACAAACAATGAGCTAGAGCTCAGCAAGTAACATAACAGTAAAGAGGTTAGTGAACGAAGTCCGACATTTTCATAAATCCATAATAAATCAATCATAAACATATATCAGTCATCAGTCATCATAAGAACATACGTAATGGCATACTCCACAGAACCTTTCATAACAGTCTATCAGTCAACAGTCTACGAGATCTCGTAACTAGTCATGGGTTTGTCCTTCCATGCCGTTCCCCATGACTCATGACGCATGGGCCTGCATGTTCCCGCCCCCATGACCCAACTATCTATGGATGCCATACTAGATTCGCAAATCAGGACATTCATTCACGGAAAACATTCTCATTTCAAAGCATAGCATAACGTAATACATTTAAAACATAGTTCATAATAACATATCTTTACAGAAATGTTACTCACAGAGGGTTTCCGAAACCGAATGCACGGTCTTCAAATCTTGACCTGCAAATATCAACATGTCATACATTTCTCAATACACATTATCATTAAATCCTGTAATTCATGCACTTCATTCTTTCCTTTACTTTGATTCATATTCATTTCATGTTTATAGGATGATAAATGATGCAATTAACATGATAAAATCAAGTCTGCAACTTCTCCAAAATTTTCTTGAAAAAGGCCTTCCCGTTCGAGCGCCACTTTGGCCGCTCGAGCGTACTGTAAAAAGTCCCAAAACTGCTGGGAGGCTGTTTTCACCGCTCGAGCGGGTTTCCCTCCGCTCGAGCGTACAAAGCAAAATCCGAATTTCTGGTTCTTCTTCCAAGCTTCATTCTTCTCTTTACAAAATCACTTTCCACATTTATGAAATCTAAGACCCAAAATACATAAAGCCCATCTTAAATCAACATCAAAACTTCAAATCAAAACCCATATGGAACAATAGAAGATCAAATCTTGGAGTAAAATAGAGAATCGTAAACTTGAGCATAAAAGCTTCATTTCAAAACATCCATGGAGGTTTCCTTCAACAATGCCAATTAACCATAAATCATACCATTTTAAAGCCATGATCTTGTGTTCAACATGCTTAAATACCACGAATCAACAATCAATTTCATGGGAATCTTACCTTAACCACTTAGTTTGGAGAAGATTTGAGCTTAACCCCCTTTTCTCTTCTTCTTTCCCTTTCCTTTCTCTCTTCCCCGAGTTCTCTCTCTTTCTCTCCCCAGATATTCTCTTTTTCTTTAGTTTGAGTCAAATGAGTCAAAACATCCATCCTTATCTATTATATAACAAAATAAACCATTATGCTCAAAACACTTAAGCCAAACATGACTTACGAATCAGACGAAATTCAGTCCTTAATTTTTTTCCTCAAATGGTTCTAAAAATTCCCGGTATCACATAGACGTGTTCAATTTCATTTTCCGAACCCATTACGGTCATCAATTTCAGTCCCAAAGTCGTAATCTCAACAGGTATTTTCTAAGTTCAACAGATAATCTTCAATTAAATCATACTAACACATAATTAATTACTGGTAATCATGGTATACGGTTCTGGGTCGTTACATCCCCTATCTTCTCCCAAACAACATACATATGCGATGTATTTAAACACTTATCATATACAATGATCAAGCAAAGCACATATTCAATGTGTTATCTCATCCATCATATTCAATGACATACTCATATGATTAGTTTTAATTCACTTAATCATCATGCAGTGTCTACAACAATCAAGACTATCTTCCACCGATAGCCCAAAACATTTATTTCTAAACAAATAATAAATCATCAAACAGATAAATTATCTACAATTTCGAAGGGTGAGTGATTAATCAATCCAACTCTACCATTAAATCTCATAATTATCCACTTTCATCATTCCCAACTCAATTTCATATTTTCACAACTTTCACAAATTAATTATACCAATTAATTCATAACAATAAATTAGGGCTTTTCTCCTCATTTTTCTCAACGTTGACCCAAAGGTCCAAATATCATCAATAACCTTATTTCATGACCCAAAATACACATGAATTGGTCAAAAGAACAAAACCCTTCTTTATACATTTTGAAACCCTAACACCCAAAATTTCCCAAATTAAACATTTAATCAAAATGACTACTAGTTTATGTCAAAGACCATAAATATGAGTAGTAATCCCTACCTCAAATTTCGGAGCTCAAAGGAGAAGATGAAGAAATTCGAAGGTGCTCCAAACTTAAAGATTTTCGGATCAAAATGTAGTCCACACCAAGCTCCATACTTTTTACAAAGGGACTAGGGTGGAAGATCACTAGAGCTAGATGATTCCTTAGAGAGAAGGTGTAATCTAGAATGAGAAGCTCTCAAGTTTGGGTTTTGCAAAGCTGGAGAGAGAGAGAGAGTTGAAAAAGTGATTGAAAAATGCTTCCCACAGACTGATATACTACACAGCTCGCTCGAGCGTGGAACGCCCCGTTCAAGCGTCAGACACAGACTCACGCTCGAGCGTGAAAAGCGTCGCTTGAGTGTCGAATGCACACTTCCAGAAGTTCTGCAGACGAAGGTCCCCACTCGAGCGTGAAAGTGGACGCTCGAGCGTCTGATGACCTGCAGGGAAAAATACTGAGAGATGAATAATCCTGCTCGAGCGTCAAACTTCCCGTTCGAGCGAAGGAACAAAAGCAAAGGGCCCGCTTGAGCGTCAAAAGCCCCGCTCGAGCGTGAAAGCCAAAATCTGGGCATCAACTCTTGGCTTCCAATCACAACCAACCTGTTTCAAGCCTGCCCCAACACAATCCAAGACTCAAATACAAAGAGTAAAAGATGAAAACGAGAGTAAGACAACAACCAACATCTACGGACCCGAGTCCGGAATACAATAAACCAAGAAGGGAAAACCGGGATCCCTATACTTTTTCTATTTTTAAAAAAATAAAAAATAAAAAAATCTACGAATATAACTGTGAATTAACATGTCCACAACAGAAATTGATAATCAGAAGCAATGGGTGAATAACTTTTCAGAATCAGCTTTTTTGACTTAAAATAAATTGTTAGAATCAGAAGCTGTTTAAAATAAGTTTAACCAAACATTCCAAAATAACTTTTTAAAAAGAAAAAGTTATAAATTGGCTCAAAAAAATCTCACCAAACACCCCATTATCATGTTGAGTTAAGAATGGACCGTCCTTTATTTTTATTATTATTTTTTATTTTTAAATGTAATTCAAACTTCAAAAGGCTAGTGGGGCAAGCGTATTTACAATTGGGAAACCCACATATAACAAAGTGAGTGTTTGGGAAGTGAATTTTTTTTATAGGTTTTTTTAGTTATTTGGAGAAAAAAAAAAATTGTATTTAGAAAGATATTTGAGTTTTTTTTTTTTGTGATTGGATGTGATATTTGTGAGAGAAAAAGTGAAATAATTATGGAGTTTAATATAATATT